TAATCGTTCATCATTTCCCAACCAGTGTTCGGGCTTAGCATAATGGAATTGGTAAACTGGTTTAAATCAGAACGTGAGGACAGACTATCAGGCTGTGAGGGTCTGTGGTAATGTCTTCAGACCAAGCAGAATATTTTCACCACACACACACACACAGGGCTACACACAGCAACACAGTCTGCACCTCTGCTTCATCACTGCCAGCACACATCAAATGGTACCTGAAGGCATCCCTAAAACTAAAGTGGAAAAAATTGTCTTCGTGTACACATGTAAACACATTTTGTATTCCAATGCTAATTCAGCAATTTATTATCGCCGTAAAATTGTATCTGTAGGGTCATAAATCACAACATAGACTGAATATTCTGCTTCTGCAGAAAATCTGAAAAAAAAAAAAGTGTTTTCTATTTTAAGAGTGGTCACACATTTTAATATTAATTTACAGAAACACTTAGGGAAACATTGCCGTCCTTTTCTAGTAGCTTATTTTTATTTTTACATTTTAATTGATTGTGGTAAACTTATGTTTTTTTTTATTTTAGAAGCAAATAAAATAATTGCCTTTTTTTTGTTTTCTCAAATTTATTTAGAACTACGAAGGTCTGTATGAAAGAAACAAGTTAGAAAGCAAAAAAGTCAATTATACTGTTTTAATTTTTTATGCTCTCAGAACATTTTTTATATTACCTTGATGAACTTTAGCTCTTTCATTTAAGTAAATTAAAGTAAACCACCTTCATTAGTACTAAATATTTGCCCGTCTGAAGATAATTGGACAATCATATTAAAATAAACATGTATTTCTGTAACAAATGATTTGATTTCACTGTTTCTGACTTAAGGCAATTAACATTAGGAAACACAATGTTTTATTTATTTTTATGTTTTTTAACATGTTTTGGGACAATAACTTTTATTACCAAAGTGTTCCAGATAAAATTATGTGAATGCAAAAATAATTGTAGCAAGCGACTGTGCATGTTCATACTGGGAGCAAATAATAAATTACATTTTAAACCTAATTTTAGACACAAATTAGCTCATCCTGACATCAATAAAATACATTTCATTCAAAACTCCAGGTTGTATTTGTTTTAAACCTGTGTTCTGCATGTTTTTACTGACACATGCTGTGTGGTTGTATCATCAGGACCAATCTGCTCCTTCAGCCCCCCAGGAGGCTGCCTGTCGGCCACTAGATGTCACAGTGGCTGTTTGTAAAAGATGAGAAGGGATTTTTCCCCTCTGTACAAGTAGAGAATAAATTGGATATTTTTCTTTTCGTTGTAGAGTAATCCTTCACAAGACAGTTTGCAGCCTAAATCAATGATTTCACAGATGTATCCAAAAATCATCGGAGCTGAGCTGTATTGTTTGATGGAACAAATGATGTTGCCTCTTTCTGAGGAAAACCGCACCGCTGCTGAATGTGAAGGTATTCTCTGTTAATGGCTTTTTTAAATAGTAATATTTCACCAGGCTGATGTTTTTAAAGCATTTATTGGACTTTAACATCCAACAGTGACATGTCCTTTGTTTCAAATGAGCAAGAATTTATTAAAATTATGTGAAGTGAGTTTGCAACAATGAATCTGTTGTAGGATTTCATTTATGTGCTTCAATGAGCAAAACAGACTTATCTTTATGGCTAAGAACATGAATTGGGGGAGGGTTACTCCTTGGGACATATTATGGAAAATATGAGTTCCCATGTAGTTTTCCATATCAAAGCATAACAAGAATCCGGTATTGCTCCTTTTAAAATTTAATTTTTAGTGTTGATTTTTCACGTCGTACTGCAGACACGCTTGTCAGTTGTATAATATTAGACATCAATTTAATCCCACTGCAAAAACTAAATTGGATTTTGATACATTTCCTGGTGATTTAATTGATTCTGAGTATCTCGTTTTACTTGGCAGGATGCCTATCCACCTCATACAACCCTTTTTTTTTTTTCCTTTTTTTTTTTTAGTAATCGTGGATTTTTATTATCATTCTGGAAGAAATATTGCTCACCAGGAGAAAAATGCTTCACTGTAGGACAAATGTCACAACTCAGCATGACCTTGGATTGACCGGCACACACAATAGTAACGCAGTGACTGAGACGGGATTCAGTCAAGCAAAACGACAAAAGAGCCAAGCAATCAGAACTTTCTCTAAGAAGAAATGAGGTCCACATATAGTTTTTACACTTTTCACAAGAATCATGAGTTGTTGTTATGCTGGGTTTAACAATTTTAACAGAACTTTTAGGACAAAAAATAGAATTATTTGTGGTGACTGAAACAGCCCATGTAAAGTATTAATAGTGCTACAATTATTAGATTAATATCCTCCATCTCCATAGATGATAATGTTATTATTTGTGTGCATGTATGTGTTCATTTATCTGCAATGTTAGCAAAATATCTGATAAACCATTGGGCAGATTGCATAAAAACTTTCAGAACATCTAACCATTGAATAATCCCATTCAAGTTGGCTGCCATAGCTAACTAACACAACTTACCAAACACAAAAATGGCCTCAACTCAACAAGTTTTACAAATATTTGGCTAAAATTATGTGTGGTAGTAGCTGAGAGTCACCCCAACACATACTTTCAACACTAAGTGATTGTAAAAGATCTGTATTTAAAATATTGTCGTTAATTGTTACAGTCAACTCTTCTTGTCTGTTTGCAATACAACAGAAACCACTGGATGGATTTTAATGGACCTTTCACAAAGTACTGTAATCACAAAGTGTACTGCGCATCTAAAACTTTAAAATGGTCACCACAGCTCATCAAAACTGCTATAACATCATCTATTTTTCAATCATACGATCTTAGTTTAAGGCTATGATGAAAGACGATGAATATGAAAACAGGTTTGAATAACCGGGGTGACCATTTTAAAGTTTTAAATGCGCAGTACACCTTGTTGTTTCAGTTATTTGTGGAG